ACCTCCACTAACATGATCGACCATTCATTAGGATAAAATCGGGGAGCAAGGTAATATTTTTACACATATTGCATAAATACCAACAGTTTTTTTAATATTCCGATGCTGATGAGATCTCCGCAAACAAGTTACGAAGCGTTTTATTAAGGTATTCGTATCAGATGAGTCATCATATTTATTTACTGGAAATAAGAAAGGATGTAGTAGAAAGGATACGAAATTATTGTAATTAAGGTCCAAATCAGATGGAAATTTTTCTAACTTCTTTTCTTAGCTATTTTGCAAATAGAAATAAAAAAATATTAAACTAAAAGTGATGGTCTGCAAAAAATATAAAACTTTTAGGCAAAATAGATCGACATAAATATGTTCTCTAAACCTTTTTAAAAAAAAAATAAAATGTTTAATAAACAAAAACAAAATTAAAATGGACCTGTGGATTAAAATCCCAGTGGTTGGATGTATACCATAGTTAAAAAAACACCATAAAGTAATAACTTCTTTTGTAAAATGGTACAAATTGTATATATTTATTATAAAATTTAAATTATCCAAAAAGATTAAACTATTTAGAACGTGTTAGGTTCTATCAGAGCATCATCAGTAAAAACATCTAAGTAGTTAAAACTAGCCACATATTAAGGTTTGATTACTATCTTAGATCACATCTTAAAAATATTAAATTTTAAAAATAAAAATTTTGTGACACGAGGTCGATATTCGAGGATTTCACCACACATCACTACTCGAAAAAATGACATTAGAGTCTTACGGTTGATAGAGGAGAAAGTTTTACAGTAGCCACCCCCTGTTTTTTGACTATAAGAACTAAAACGTTGCGTCACCTGTCTTAAAAGTAACGAAACACAATGTTCAAATACGTGCTTGGTTATAGAATAGAATAGAATAGAATAGAATAGAATAGAATAGAATAGAATAGAATAGAATAGAATAGAATAGAATAGAATAGAATAGAATAGAATAGAATAGAATAGAATAGAATAGAATAGAATAGAATAGATAGAATAGAATAGAATAGAATAGAATGAATAGAATAGAATAGAATAGAATAGAATAGAATAGAATAGAATAGAATAGAATAGAATAGAAATATGCTTTATAATTGATGACACGATAGCAACAGATATGCCTAGAAATTTATGCATGGTTTTTAGAGGCCAAACTAAATTTTATTGGTAAAATCCTATAGTGGCCATCACTAACGGTTCCTACAATAACCACTGCTTCTTTAGTGCTGCCACCGCAGTGCACGATTTCTAAAGTTTTTTGAATGTCAATAAAGTGTGCCTTGTCTTAAATGGGTATAAATAAATGAAATTTTGCTTTGTTTCAGAACAAAATGCCTTCTCAGAAGACTCTTACTGGGATAACTCCATCGGATATATTGAGAAAGGTCCTAGATGTCATTAGAAGTAATGGGTTG